TTAACAATAGATACATTAGAAACGTAAAAAAAAAAAAAGAAAAAAAAAATTTGTAAATTTAATTCTTAACGGAATTTTTCTATTCACTTCTTTAAAGGGAGATAAGTCTGAGAGAGAGAGAGGAAAAAAAAAGGTTCAAAAAAGCGGATATTCTCTTTTCTAAATAAATAAGTAGAGCAGAGATGAACGGTTGAAGTGATCGGAACGGTGATGATTGTGATGTTGGTTGTAAGTGTCTGGAAATCAAATGGCACCGGCATGGGAGTGGTATCAGTATGGCTGTGTTGACGAGACATTGTCACATTGCTGTCATGCTGGAATGGTACATAGTCGATTTGATGAGAAGAGGGGGAAGAGGAGAAGAGCGAAGAGAAGAGTTGCAAGGTTGTTACATAATGCATTGGCTAGTCAGCTATCTGGTGTTGAAAGAGGAACGCTTAATAAAAAAAAAAAATGTCACCACATTTGGTTAAGGGACAGAAATTAGAAAGAGGTCAAACAATTGCTAAAGTTAGAAAAATCAAAGTTCATTTAAAACCAGTCTAATTTTTCTTCGTTTTTTTTTTTTTTTCTAGGCTAAAACATCAATACTACATATTATTGTCATCTGAAATAAATTAATATTTTCAATTCAATTTCAATTTTTAATTTCCAATATATTTCATAAAACTGTTTGAAAGCAGTTATGCTTACATTAGTTAGATCTAAACTAAGTTGAAATCAGTCAGATATTATTCTTGAATTAGTTACTTATTCATCGTCTATTCATACTTTATATGTAAACTAGCCTTACTTTGCCTACGTGTAATCTTACCTTTTTTTTTATTTTTGAAAAAAAAAGTATTAAAACTGAGACATTATAGTAAAATTCTGACCAAATGTGTTCATTTGCCATGATGACAACAATCGCAGCAACGTTCCGTGACATCCTGTACCTGCCAATAACATTGCTATCTGTCTCGCATACTTCATTAACTAGTTATAATATGAGCAGTTGCATAGCCTTTCAACCAATTGAAGGCTTAAAAAAAGAAGAAAAAAACAAAACAGGTTACAGGTTAGGTGGTAAAATTGATGATGACCTTTACACTTGTCAAATTCAATTTATGAATATAAATTTCAGACCTATGAATTAATTTGAAACTGTCATCACTGAAATCGATAAAATGTTCGGTCTTGTTAATTATAATAAATAGCTAATGGATTGGATTACATCATATAATATTATCGTAAGCAACTAATATAATCCTTTTCATGGTTATCAGTTTTTCTTTTCTTTTTCTTTTTTTTTTTTTTAAACTTGACATTTAGGAAATTTCTGTTAAAAAAAAAGAAGAAAATTTTTGAATGCATTTTGAAGGTAAACATTTCATTGTTCACATCAAAAATTATATGTTAATAGCTTTTATATATGTAATTTGAATATTTACCGGAAAATTTAAGCCTTATTAATAAAAATTTTCAATTTGTAAAAATTTCAAATTTACCAAACTCTTAAATTTCAACTTGAAATTTCATTTTTGATAATTATTTTTTGTTGTTATATGCAGCCTAATATATTCAAGTTGATAATTTTTTAAATTATTTCAACTTATCATTACTTATAATCCATACTAATAGGATAGCATAATATTGAAAAGACAAAAAAAAAAAAAAAATTGATAGCTATGAGTGACAAACATGAATGAGATTTAAATTGATAAAATTACATTTATAATATCAATATAAACTTTTTTTTTCATTTCCCTTATTTTAATATTTATCATCATATCTTCAATTGTTGCTACAATAATTCAAGTTTAAAACTAATTTCAATTTCAATAATTTCACCTTACTAATATACCTTATTGCTTGTAACATTATAATCTTGAATTTTTTTTGGAAAAAAAAGAAACTTTTAACATCCTTTGCTTGTTAATTAATTACTAATTCTGTCAAAAAATTAATTAATTAATTAATTACTACTTCTATACTACAAGTGTGTTGGATTTATTATGGAAAATAATTAGGGAAAGGATAAAAAGCAAATTACAATTATTATGCACATAATTATTAAAAAGAATAATTATTGAAAACGTGAATTGTGCACTTTTTTTTCCACCAGTTTTTTTTTTCTTCTCTTTATTTCCATTTTAAAAAAGAAAACAAATTAAAAATTATTAGCGTTTTTAAAATTAACATTATTTCATTATTTATTAAAAATAACTATTTTCCATGTAAATTTTATCATTAATTAGCTCACGAATTAATCATCAATGGTATAAATTATATGGAAAAAAAAAGAGATAAGAAGAAATAACGCATCTTATAATATAAGATTATAATTTTTAAAAATAATAATTACTATAATTTATAACTTTTATACTAATTTGTGACATAAACGATTATAATGTGCTTTTTTTTTTTTTTTTTAGCATTCTGTTCAACTTATCACTTCAAATTTGTGCATTTATCAATAAAAATGAATTGGAACAGTTGGCTAATTAATTATTGATAAACAAAATTATTTTTGTTTAATACATTTAAACTAAATAAATTTAAATGAGATGATGAAGAGGCAAAAGGAAAGAAAAAACACATAGATGATGGAAAATAAAAATTAATTCTCTATTCATTTCTCATAACAATTTTCATCGAAAGTAACGAACAAAAATTCACAACAACTAAAAAATGTATTGATATTTGAAAAAGGAAAAATTCTATTAAGTAGTTAAAAAAAAATGACGAAAGTAGTGTGGTATGAGAATGAAATTAATAATGAATTGATGAGAAGTGACAGAGAAGTAAGGGAACACTTTTCTGTCCTTTTGTCACCAATAATACTGATGATAATGATGATGATGATGGGGGAAGGGATGTTCAATATAATATACACAATATTGAATGTCTTCATGTTGGCACACTTTCTTTTTTTTTTTTTTTTTTAAATATTTTTTGACAAATGAAACAGATGAAATGGTGTAAATTGATGATTGCTAATCAAAAAAATTGAATTGAATTGAAATCTTCTTCAATCTTCTTTTTTTTTTTCTCTCCATCATATTTGTAACAGAAATAATTTATTTTTCCAAATTAAATTATACAAAATTATTTTAAAAACTATTTGCAAAAACCAATTAATATTATTGACTAATGAGGAAGATAGGATTGTTGGCTTTTAAATAATATTATAATACTGATAATTTTCTTAAAATATTAATTTAAAAAATTAAAAAAGAAAATTTAAAAAATTTTTAATATATAAACAATTTAAAATATATAATTTTTAAAATATTAACATATTTTAAAGGTTTATTTATCGGAATAATAAAATCATTTTCTATCATATAATGCTAATATTTGTTGTCAACAATATGCTTATATGATAGATAGTTAGCCAAAAATTTGTCAAAAAAATCAAATTTACATGATGATAATTTATCATTGACCAAAATGTTTATTACAATCATAGTTATAAGTAAGGAAAATATAATTAAAATAGGAAAATGTAAAAAAAGAAATAAGAGAGAGAAGGAGAGAGAGAGAAATAAATGACGATGATATTGAGTGGTAATTGTAATTAGTTTTCTAAATACTTTTTTTTTTTTACTCTCAATACTTCCAACATTTTCACATTTTTTAACTTCACATTTAAGGGTCATTTGATGATAATTACGGCTATTTCTATTTCTAATCTGAAACAATTGATCATTTATCATTTTGCGGTTTTCCAAACAAATTTAACTCCCCCCTTCCTTCTGTTCTAATTCTTCTCCCTAACTTTTCCCATCCTTCAGACATAATGTACAAATACCATTTATCATCAATCATTTCTGCACATCATATCTACCGTTTCTCAATGATTTTTATCCATAGATTTTTCTTGTAAACTTATTCCATTCATCACTTTTAACCATTTATAATTCAAATTCAAATGAAATTTGGCAATTTTGATAAAAATAAAGTTTAAATTTGAAAAGATATTGAAAATAATAATTATGAATGAAAGGCAAAAAAAAAATTTTCAGATTTTTGATAAATGAAATTGATTTAATTAAATTTGATAAAAATTTTTCACAACAATTCAGTATGCAATTTTCAATTTAATTGCAAGCTCAAATTTAAGTTTAGAAATGATATTAAGCTCAAATTCAGGTTCAGAAATGATATAATAAATGATATAATCTATCTGCTTTTTGATGCCCAAAAAAAAATTTTTCCTTTTTCATTTCAAAAAATTTCAATTTAATAACTGTTTGAATGGATTGTTGAATGATAATTTAATCATGCTGATAGCATTATATGGAACAACAATAATTCTGAATTTTCAGAAAAAAAAAAAAAAACTATTGATCATGAAAAAGTTGAGAAAAAAAAATGGAATTAATTTTAAAAATTTATGAGAGTAATAATTTTATCAAACAAGCAAAAATCATTCCATTCAATTAAAAATATGATAGCTAAATGGTTATAAATTTTCAATGAAATTTTTCAAATGCATACTTTTCGATATAAGAAAGCTTTTTTTTATGGGTTTGTTTTTATCTAAAGA